TTGTCAAATTTATTAGCATAAAGTTATTCATAATATTACCCACTGTCCTTTTAATATTTGTGTACTCTGTAGTTAATTCCCACTTTCAATTCTTTTTTTTGAGACACAGTCTCACTCTGTCACCTGGGCTGGGGTACAGTGGTGTGATCTCAGCTCACTGCAGCCTTGACCTCCTGGGCTCAAGTGATGCTCCCATCTCAGCCTCCTGAGTAGCTGGGACTACAGGCGTGCACCACCACGCCTGGCTATGTTTTTTCATATTTGTTGTAGAGACGGGGTTTCACCATGTTGCCCGGGCTGGTCTCGACCTCCTGAGCTCAAGCAGTCCCCTACCTTGGCCTCCCAAAGTGCTGTGATTACAGGCGGGAGCCACCACGCCTGGGCCCCTCTCTCATTCTTGGTGTTACTAATCACTGTCTTCTCTCTTTATTTATCTTTATCAGCTCGGCTAGAGGCTTATCAACTTTATAGTCTCAAAGAGTCAGCTTTTAGTTTCATTGATTTTTCTATTACAGTGATTTCTTCTGTTACTGTCTTTCTGCTTATTTTGAGTTTAATTTGTTCTTTTTCTGATTTTTTAAGGTGAAACCAAAGGTCATTGAATGGACGCCTTCTTTTCTAACACAGGCATTTGGTGCTTACATTTCTCCTGAATACTGCAGATTTTTATATGTTGTATTTCCATTTTTATTCATTTCATGATGTGTTATTTCCTTTGCAGATAATTCGGATTTTCAGCTTTCTGTTACTGCTTTCTAACTGAATTTCAGTTTTGTTGGAGAACATACTTTTTATGACTTGACTTGTGTCCTTTTAAATTTGAGACTGGTTTTGTGGTCCAGAAGATGTTCAGTCTTGGTAAATGTCCTGTGCGTGTGTAAAAAGAATGTGAATAATGTGTATTCAGCCGTTGTTTATGGAGGGTTCCATGAACGTCATTTTGGTCAGGTTGGGTGGTGGTGGTCAAGTCTTCTCTGTTCTTACTTATTTTCTGTCTACTTGTTCTGACATTTACTAAGAGCAGGGTGTGAAAATTCCCAGCTATAATTGTAGATTTGTCCCTTTCTTCTTATGCTTGTATTTTATATTTTATTATTATTTTACACCTCGTGATGTTGAGATCTGAGGTCTCAGTGTAGACTCATGATTGTTGGAATGTAATCTTGTATGGAAATACCGAGGTGTGAGTAAATACCTACGTACCCTGCCTCCTTCAAGTATGAAGCTCTGCTGTCAGGTGCACAAATGTTTAGGACTGTCATGTCCACTTGATCAACTGACCCCTTTTTCATTATGAAGTGGCCTTACTGTATTGCTGGTAATATTCTTTCTTTATAATTTACTTTGATGTAAATATAACCATTACAGCTTTCTTTTGATGAGTGTTTATATGATACACATTTGTCCATCTCTTAATCTATTTCTATATTTTAACTATAACTTAAGGTAGATTCCTTGTAGGTAGCACATGGCTAGGTGTGTAATGCTTGGGAAGGATTGATTGCTCATTTATAAAACAATAGCCTCCTCTTCCCAAACGCTTCTTAGTCCCACCTCACAAGATTCCTCTTGACACTCCGGCAAAGTGGAGTCTTGCTTTTTCATACAGTCTGACAACCCCTGCCCTTTAAATGGGGTGTTCAGATAGTTTGATATGGTCACTGATATAGTCAGGTTTAGTTGTCCCTGATTGTTTTAGATGCTTTAATTCTTCCTTTTACATTTCCATCAAACTGTTGTCACCTTTTTAAAAGGTACATTTCTGTGTTTTCTGGACTTTTCATTTTTAGGGTTATAATATGTATATATTTTTAAAACAACTATATAGTGTTTTTCTTAAGAGTTATTACTGATTTTTGTAATACCTTGGTGATGAAATAGCATAGTTTTGAATAGTCCACTCCACCTTTTTTTTTTTTTTTTTTTTTTTAGATAAGTCCTGGTGTTTTTAGTATATGGTTTTGCAGGAACGTGAGGTTCTTCCAGAACATTTCTGTTTACTGAATCTGCAGTTGGGAGAATAATCTGTCTCTAGCCATCAGTGCTGTGTTAGGTGAAACCCTGCTGGACATTGGACATTTGGCTAGGAACCGTGCATGTCAGCTTGCCAGAATTGTAGCTTTGAAATGCATAATTGACCAGTATTAAAGTGGGCACAGAACAGGGTAGGAGTGACACACGTGGCCTCTTAGCCACCCGTACGTCTGGACTAGAGCTATTCCTATTTGAGGGCACATAAACAGAAATAAATCTCACCTTTGGACCTGTCCAAAAAAAGCTATCCCAGAATGTGGGGAGGAGGGAAATATCCTGAAATGCAGAAGAAGATACCTCTGAAAATGAAATTGAATCAGGAAAAAATATTTTCAAAAGGTTTTGGCTAAAAGAAAACCTGGGTCAACAAGGAGAGGCAGAAGGTCTTGCATAAAGAGGGCCTAGGCCGAGTGAGAGGTTGATGGGGTTAGTGGTAAAGGGAAGTGGTTGAGAACAAAGAGTTCATGGCTTAGTTAAAATCTGTATTTGAAGCCATAAAGAATAAAATGGATATTGTGGAAAATAGCAGCAGTGAAGTGAAGAACATACTTGAGAGGCTGCCTGGGAATGCACAATAAACAACAGATGTGTCAGCGGTGAAAGAGGCCAGATCTGATGGGGAGACTCCAGCCAAATAGCATAGGAATCTCTGAAGAAGCCAGAGCAAGTTTAACAAAAATAATAATCAATGACATAATTGAAGAGTATTTTCCTGAGCAGAAAGAAGACCTATATTTGTTGAAAGGATCATGTTTTGAGCAAAAGACTCTTACTTATTTATCTTCTGACAATGTTTTTAAATTTTAAGATTCAAGAAAAAAATGTTAGTAGATTCCAGGCAGAAGAAAATGACAAGAACCACAACATCATGAGTTTTACCCGGAAAGGAGCTATAGTTGAGCTGGACTTAAACTTCTCTACAATGTTGAGGGGGGAACAACATCCAAAGAGTTTGAAGGGGGCATGTTTGTGATCTAAGATTTTTATACCCAGCCAAGATGTGTTTTTTTGTGTGAAGGATACTGTCATCTGAGATTTGTGAGGGTTTGTAAAATATGCCATCTACATTCCCTTCAAGAAAATCTCTCTTTTTGACCAAGGGATGAGTAAACATTCTGACCCCGAAGACAGATAAGTCACTGTCATTTCTAAGGAGATAACCAGATACAGAACAACAGTCATGAAGATATTCATCAGAGTTGTAGATACAATGAACATAAAATTGGAAAGCATCTAGATAGCCAGCTTTGTGGGCAGGGTGATTCTTTACATGAAGCATTGGTTAGAGTTCTTTGGTTATAAGCAATTGGTTAAAAAAAAAAATTCTAGATTAATGAAATTAAGAAAAGGAATTTGTCACACTTTTAAAGAAAGAGATGAACACAGAAGCTTCTGAAAGCACTTGAACTGGGATTAGTCAGGAACTTTCGGTGGTAGGAGTTCTGAGTCTTGTCTCTGTTGGGTTCCTCTGTGTACCGACCGATCCTTTGAAGAGGCAGGTCTTGGAAAGAACTTGACGAGCTCAGCGAGCGCCACGTATTGCTCTTTGGCCTGGCATTTCCCGGGAGCAGCAGGCTCATCAGAAGCTTCTGAAAGCGGGGGCGGGGCAGCTGTCTATCACACTTGGGGTAGGAAACAGCCCTTCAGAACGAAGCTTACCAGGTGTCGTCAGTGCCATTGGAAAATGCCTGGCTGTAACATCAGCACAGAGAACATGATAGACAACTGTATTGCTAGAGGTGTGTATGGGCAAAAGGCAAAGAAAAGCAGTGGCACGGAAGCATGTCAGAATGTTCCTGAGGACTTGTCTCTGTGTGACGGCATCATGGATGACTTTCTAAATACTTGCCTGTGATGAGCATGTCTTACTTTTATAAGCAAAACATGAAAAAGAAAACCTGAGAAAGTGGTGATTACGAAGACGGAAACATGAGGGGACTATTTCAGATGTCATGTTACACGAGGAGAGCGGACTTTAGAATTAAATTCTGTGATTACGCAGACATTGTGAATCCAGATGTGTATAGATCGAAGCTGATGCAGGTGTGCGTAATGACATTCCATGGTGGCAGTGCGCCAAAAGTGATTTTTCTTTTAAAACATTTTATTTCATATTTATTTCATAAGCTAATATAACTTAGAATAAATTTACATTAGTTGGAAGATAATCTGCTTCTTTTCAAAAGCCAAATGTTGGGGAAACTTCTGGAAGGGGTAAGGAAGGTGTTTCTAGATCAGAGATTTTGGACCAGGGGATGATACTGTCCTCCAGAGGACCTGCGGCAGTCCCTGGAGACATTTTCGGTTGTCTTGACTTGGCGGTTGCTACTGGCATGTGGCGTGTGGAGGCCCGGGGTCCTGGTGAATAGAATGCGTAGGACAGCCCCACACCCCAGCAACTGCATGCCCAAACCCAAGTCCCGGTGGTGCTAAGGCTGAGCAGCCTGCTCTCCAGAGACATTGTGATTTACCAACAAAATCCCAACTGCTCATATTTGTAGAAATGATTCCATATGAACTGTTCTGTCAGTCCTTGGTCAGAACAAGAATAAAGAAGGAAGTTGATGGGGCGTGGTGACTCATACCTGCAATCCCAGCACTGTGGGAGGCTGAGGTGGGCAGATTACTTGAGGTCAGGAGTTCGAGACCAGCCTGGCCAACATGGTGAAGCCCCATCTCTACTAAACATACAAAAACTAGCTGGGCCTGATGGCACGCACCTGTGACCCCAGCTACTCGGGAGGCTGAGGCAGGAGAATTGCTTGAACCTAGGGTTGGGGGTTGGTGGAGGTTGCAGTGAGCCAAGATTGTACCAGTGCACTCCAGCTTGGGCGACAGAGTAAGACTCTGTCTCAGGAAAAAAAAAAAAAAAAAAAAGGGAAGTCATTGTTTCTCTTGTTAGATACAGTTTTCCAGGTCAGAACTTCTATGTTGTAACTCTAGTCTCTTGTCTCCTAATCTTGCAGGTTCACCTGCGGAAGCCAGTGGACGCCTCTGCTCTCCTTGTGGGTTACCTGGCTCATGAGACCTGGCTGGCGAGGCTCGGCGCGTGAACGTCTGTGACCCAGCCCTCGCCGTTCCGGCACTTGTATGTGTTGGTGGGAGTTTGGAGCTCGCTGGAGCTATCGTTTGCGTGGAAATTTTGAGCCATTTCGAATCACTTAAAGGAGTGGACGTTGCTAGCAATGAGCTCCCAAAGCCATCCAGGTAAGGCCCGGTCCTGTCTTCTCTGGGCACACAGCTGGGCGTTCTTTTCCCGAAGTAGAATTTCTTGTGACTACACCTTGCTTACTGGAGTCGGGACTTCAGTTTTTCACGATAGTGGTCACTGTTGGTTTTTGACAGCACCAAGTACAAACTGGATGGTTTGTTCTTTTTCTTGATGAAAGAAGAACAATAAAACCCGGGAGGATTTGAACCCAGTCTGCTGCCCTGGTTTGCAGGCCGCCTTGAGTGGCGCACAAGTCTTGTTGATGCCAGGAGAAGAGACCTGCTTTTGGCAAGGGTGATGATGAAAGGTCAGGTTGTGATTTGGAGCGGCGACCTCTGGCCCAGTGTCTGTTTTGTATAAAGCGTTGTGTGAGGGGTGGGAGTGCTCCTCCGACTGGGCGTCTGGGTCTGGGAGGAAGCACATATTCCCACTCAGATGATGGCCGCAGTTGCTCCCGGGGTCCGAGTGCTTATCTGAGGGGTTGCACTAAGCAGCTCAGTCTTCACAGCAGCCCCAGATCATCTCAGGCCTGGAGGGAAGAAGTCACTTGCCTGAGGTCACAGAGCTGGCAGGTGGGGGACCCACAGGATGGGGAACCAAGCCTGTCCTGCTCTGAGCTTCAGAAGCATGTCATGGGTGCATCCACTGAGGACGCCACACTTTGGATCCTTGGGAAGTCACCGAGCTGCACTGTAATGAAACACAGAGCCCTGGCACCGACCTGCCTGAGTGTCAGCCTCCTTGAGAGTCACTCGCATGCTGCCCGGCCTCCTGCCACTTCCAGTGCACCGTGGCCTTCATGGGCACTTAGCTGTCAGCTTCTGTCTAGTGTCCACATGAGAGAGAAGGCGTTGGCCACTGGACAGATGCTTGGACAGGCATCTGAGGCTCTGTGCGCCTTGGCTCTGGGTCCAGGTCCTTAGAGCAGAGCCAGAGGCTCAGGGTTTGGCGCTCCCTTTGAGATCTCCCGGAATGCTTACCTACATCTTTCCTTGGGTGAAATCAGCTTTGTCTGAAAATTCCAGAGGGCAGGATTACAGGTTTTTTTAGATACGAAAGTTTTATTGAGTTAAATTGTGTATGTATTGACTGATATAAGGAAATGGTTTATGATCATTGATCATCCAAGATGGAGTTGAGCACTGTGCATGGAAGTGTCTAAGGAGACAGTGACTGGGCGGCTCTCTCCTCCTGCACCTGCTACTGTGGGGTGAGAGTGTGGCTTCCTCCTGCATATACACATAGTGTAGTGTGTGAGCATTTTAACAGAGTCTGATCCCACCTGCAGGGCTCTATGTTTACTTTCTGTCTGTTTTGATGTATTAGAAGCATCAGTATATGTGTAAATATAACTTGTTCTTTTTGATACGTTGCGAATGGATATTTATGTGGATGTAACAGTATTTATACCAGTTCCAAATTGGCATCAAACAATTATTATACATATATTCCATATGCTTCTATAAATATCGCTACTAGACAAATTCCAGGAAGTGGAAGCTGGGTCAGTGGGCCCATGCCCTTAAAATATCATTGGGTTTACTGTCAGACTGCTCCAGAAGCCTCGTTCCAACGGCGCTGCCTAATTCCAGTGTAAGGATGCATAGTTTGCGTTTGTGCTGTACCAGCACTGGATGGGTTCAGTCTGTTTCATTTTCGTCAGTGTGCTAGGCGAAAATTATTGTTTGCATTCACATGACTATTTAAATGGGGGTGCATATTTTTGTATGACTTGGTATATCCATAATCATAGTTTGTACATGCTATGCAGGCATTTGTAGAGAAAGTATGCTCTTATGATTCTTTTTTAGTCTAAAGAAGTCTATATGTATATATCAATATTGTATTTAAAGTTCTTGGCTGGGTGCAGTGGCTCACTTCTGAATCCCAGGACTTTGGGAGGCCGAGGCAGGCAGATCACGAGGTCAGGAGATCGAGACCATCCTGGCCAGTATGGTGAAACCCCATTCTCTACTAAAAAAACAAAAATTAGCTGGGTGTGGTGGGCGTGGTGGCATGCGCCTGTAGTCCCAGCTACTCAGGAGGCTGAGGCAGGAGAATCACTTGAACCCGGGAGGCGGAGGTTGTAGTGAGCCGAGATCACACCACTGCACTTCAGCCTGGCGACAGAGCGAGACTCCGTCTCAAAAAAAAGGTTCTCTTATTTATGAGTATTTTATTTATATCCAGAAGAATATGTATGCTTTCTTTATATGTTATTTTATTTATATATTAACTCAATTGAGTTATTTAAAACAGTATGGCTTTACTTTCTCTTTTCTGTCTGCTCGCTTTCTTGGAAAATGAATTTTTCTACTGTAATTATAGTTTTGGAATATTCTTTTTGTATTAATAACCATTTTTTGCTTTATATAGTTCAGTTTTTTTTTTTCAATGCTTAAAATTAATGACTATTCTTTTGGTAGATCAGGTCTGTTATCAAAATACATACAGTATATTTCTCTTTGTTTAATGCTTCTTTGACCAAGAGCTTATTGTGTTTCCCGAGGTATTTCTGCCCTTGGTTTCTTTGGCTAACAAATATTTCTCCATCCGCTCGTCTCTAATCTTTTCAGGCTGTGTTCTTTGAGGCTCAGCGCTGGGAGCAGCAGGGCACTGGGTTTGGCCTTTTCTGTGGGAATTTCAGCTGCTGTGGCTCAGTTTGATCGCCAGCTCGCCGGCCTGTCCTGCCCGGCCTGTCCTGCCCCCGTGAGTTAGGTTGTGCACGCCTCGTTGCTACCTGTAACCTCTCCATTCTGTGTCTCAGTGGGTCGGAGGCTGAAGACAGGCTGCGCCGGTGAGGGCAGAGCTGCGCCTCGGCCCAGCCCATTCTCTGCTCTCCATCTTCAGGGATGGCGCAGCTAGGGTGATTTGCCTGGGGCCTGAGGTCTGCTGGCTGCCTCCTCTGCCCTGTCCACCATCATCTCTCCCTGAGGTGTCTGCCCTTTCCCCCAGAAGACCCTTGGGCGGCAGGACCCCTTGTGCTCAGTATGCGCGTGCCACCACACACACACACTGGTCAGCGGCCCAGCAGCCTCTGCCCCCGTCTCAGGCTGGGCACCGGACTCACCCGGATGTGTGTTCTTGCTCCCAGGCGAGGCCCACTCCCACTCTGGCTCCCCCAGCAGCTCCATCCCCAGGGAGCTCTGGTTTCAGGAAGTTCCTCCAAGTTTCTCATCAGTGGATGCACCTGCCTGTCCACTGCCAGGCATTGCTGGAAGTGCTTTCACAGTCTTATCTTTCAACATTTTAGTGGGTTTGGGGAGGAAGAGAAATCATTAATACTCAAGGATTCAGTCTGCTGTCTTGAGCGGGAAATTTCTAGGTGTGTTGGAGCACAGCCATGGAACCAACGTCTCTTTTCCTGGAGCTAAGGAGCCGGGTCCTGGGCTGCCTGGCCATCATCAGGCAACGCGGTGCCCGGGCCCTGTCTGGCCGTACCTCCCCTCCCTCCATGCGTCTCTCATGCTGTCCTCTGCTGGCTGGCCCCGTCCATTGCCCTGCCCACCCGACTCATTTTTGCCTGCCTGGCTCACCCTGCCCGTCCACCTGGTGTGGGGCTCTGCTTCTGTGTGGCCTGGTGTGGGTGCCTGTGATGCCACCTTACTCCCTGGGCAGGCTGGGCTGGGGAGTCCAGCTGCCCATGGGCCCCCTCTCACATTTGTAGAGTGACTTGGCTTTGCCCTCCTGAGGGGCCCCGTGGATGAATGCGATGAATGCGATGCGTACAATTTCCTCTCCCCGTGTGGTGTGAAAGTCCTCTGCTTTCGCCTCCGCTGCTGGGTGAGCTCCGTGTTACGGTTTTATTGCCATTCCCGCTGAACTTTGCCAGAGCCAGGCCCTGACTCTCTGACGTCAAAGCTGCTGAACTGTTGGGATTTTATTGCTCTAAATAACGATTTCTAATGATGTGAGCAGCCTGAGGAAAGAGCCTGGATTGACTTAGCCTGGAAGAGCTCCTTTGAAAGGAGGCCCTGGAGCCTCACACCCCTTTCCCGGCCAGCCCTCTGCACCCTCCCTGTGGGGATGCGTTTCGTAGGGGCACAGAGCTCCCCTGCCTTGAGGCCGAGTCCCTGGCATGAATCCCAGAGTGTGACGGGAAGCCCACAGGCGCCTTCTGGCAGGACTAGCCAAGGCCCCTCTTTTCCTCCCGTTCCCTTTCCGTCTTCCAGTAACTGACTGTCCTTGTCTTTCCTTATGGTTGAGTTGCCTAGGTTGCTGGTGACTTGACTGGCAGCAGGAAAGGCAGTTATTGTCACTTGGCCACCCATTTCATACTGCCCTGTCCCTCCAGTGTAGTTTACCTTTTCTTCTGGAACGTTCATGCCTAGAGAAAGTCTTGCCCAGAAATATTCCCAGTGTCAAGGAGCCCCGCAGTGGATTCACTGGGACGGGTCTGTGGTCACCTGGACGGATGTGCTCCCGATAGGAAGCCGGTTGAGCAGGCAGTGGCGGGTACCTTGAGCATCCTCTTGCTCCCGGAATCTTGGTGAGAGGTACGGATAGTGTTTACTTCAAAACAAAATAAGTGGCCTAACACGGTGGCTCACGCCTGTAATCCCAGCACTTTGGGAGGCTGAGGCGGGCAGATCATTTGAGGTCACGAGTTCGAGACCAGCCTGGTCAACATAGTGAAACCCGTCTCTACTAAAAATACAAAAACTAGCCAGGCGTGGTGGTGCATGCCTGTAGTCCCAGTTACTCGGGAGGCTGAGGCAGGGGAATTGCTTGAACCCAGGAGGCGGAGGTTGCAGGGAGACAAGGTTGCAGTGAGCCAAGATCACGCCACTGCACTGTAAACAGGCCAAAAGAGAAAGACCCCCTAAAAAAAAAAAAAAAAAAAAACAAACAAAATGATTTTGTGGGAAATGTGTAATTTAAGATCAGTGTTTTAATTTGGGCCATGATTTCTTAATATTCTGTTTAGTCTGAAATACCCCATCCACATAAAAGCACTGAAAATGTCGATGTCAACAATAAGTTGGTGCTGAATGAG